TATTTATTTGCTTTCCCAGAAAGCAAATAAATAACATACATGTCAACTTGTATGGATTGTCCGTAAGTTATAAGGATTTTTGCGTCATTTTGCAGGTACACAGACGTATAGAGCAATCTCACAGATTTTTTCAAGTCTTACGGATTTTTTCAAAACCTCATTTTCAAATTTATCTAACACGTCAGAGCCTGTAGGATGATTTAAAAACAATAAATAACATTAAACAGCCATCTTCGAACCTGTTCTGCCGGTCGAAATAAGTTTTGATCTTTTTCCGCTCTCCTTTCCTCCTGCTTCACAGCGGGCGCTTTCATGTCCTCAGCGAGGCTGACAGTTGTTTGGATTTTTTGCTAAATTTACGGATTTTTGCGGCTTTTTATCCAGATAAACGTCCGAAGAGGTTGACATGTATGGGACAACAAAATACAGACTTGTTGTTATTGAGTTTGTCGACACGAACCGCTACCTGAGAGGCACTACTAGCCCCTCCCCCATCAGACAGTCGGAGCAGGACGAGTCAGTGCAACGTCAATCAAATGAGAGAGAGAGTGGGGGTGATTGCTGCATTGGGGGGGGGGAATGTTTTATGGGTAGAGTAGTTAATTTTTCCTGTAATACTTCATTGTAGTTTTTTTTAAGACAAAGCTATCTGAAAGGGGCGCTGAGCAGAGTTACAACCAGGGATTACAAATAATTACTTTTTTTCTTCTGCAGTTCGGCGCCCCCTCCAGCAGATGGCGCTCTAGGCAACCGCCTAGTTCGCCTATGCCAAGAGCCGGCTCTGTTTATAGTCATTTGTCTGTTAACAAAATATCTCATGAGCCACTGAACTTTAGGAAAGTAATCATCTATGACTACAAGCAGTGGTGGGCACAGTTCCCCTAAAGCACTAACAGGGGAACTAATTTCCCGATTAGTGCTTTAGGGCTTTTGCTCATTTTAAAATTTATTAGTGGATTAGCACTTGCTAAATTTATAGGCTAAATTTAGAAGCACTAACTGAGGTTTATAAATTTATTGATCAACATTAATGTTAACAGCTGAGGGTAAAAACTTGTCGATCATTTTGTTCATATGTGTCATGCTGCATTCCAGCTGTCCTCGGAGGTCGTAGCTTCGAGCCTCCCAGTTCTATTTTTCAACTGGAACGCCCCCTGAAGTCGTAGTTTCGAGTCGGGAGGTCGGCGCATCCAAACCATACCCGAGCAGCCCGAGCATGTGTTACGTCATCATTTCAACATGACTGCTGCGCGCATGTTTCTCTAAGCTAACGGCTAATGTTGAGCTGTAATCAAACGTACACAAGCACCATCCCCATTATTTAACAGACAGAAAGTAAGAAGAGAGGAGGCAGAATAAAAATGAGTGCAATTTGTTTGTTTATTTTCCCTTTTTATATTTGTGTAATGTATGCAGCGTACTAGCATGCTTGTTCGAGCTAACTGCTAACATTGCTAGTCTTGCATGTAAACAAACGCAGTTTCTGTGTTGTTTATTTTACATTACGTCAGACATACTTGTAGTGCTTTATAGTGATAGTTAAAATATATGTTTTAACACTGTTTGTACACTCAAAATACCTCGTAGAGCACTATTATTGTACATTTTATTGTTGCAGAGCAAAATAATAGAAATGCTTTTTCCAATGTTTGAAAGTGGAACGCTATCAGCTCGGAACTGACGTCAGTCTGGCTTCAGAATTTCAAGTTCTGATACAACTGGAACACAGTATCACTTATTCACCAGGTGACATATATGAACCCAAATACAGCTGTGGAATGTCACTGATAATGCTGTGTTTCAGTGGTCCTGGGAAGTGGTAATTTCCCAGTTCCCATTGGTTTATTTAAACTGGAACGCCGCCTCCAGTGGTAATATTCCACTCGTATAGTGGAAGAAATGAAACTGCCCCCAGTTTAGATTTCAAGATGGCGGCTACTCGCAGCTTTAGAAAGTTAACTCCATAACTTTTTCTGTTAATTATCTTTAAGTTTTTGTTTATGTTTAATCACTCGCACAAGTAGTGTGTTTTCTGTCCATGCTGCACTTATTAAAAACAATGTTTATTTGCATGACATACGTAGCAGAGCACTCTTGTTGTCTTTGTTTGTATTGTAACAGTGTTGTAGCTAGGTTAGCCTGTGGGCTAACTGGAATGCTGTTTCATATGGTTTGTTGGGAAATGTTCCGGGAATAAAATGTAACATAAGTCTTAGGAGAGCAACAAGGTAACATGTGACTCATGTTGTCTGTTGAAGAATGCTCATGGGTTGACTGGGTTAATTTAGTGCTTTAGAATTAGCTTTTGCAAAATTTTCAGTGTGTTAGTGCTTAAGAATTAGGGGACCTAAATATTAGAGTTAATGTTTTAGGGCTAGTGGAACTAATTTTTAGATTAGTGCTGCCCACCACTGCCTACAACCAACTGTTAGGGCCAACTCTGTTCAAGATGGCCGCCACAGCCGATCCACACCAACGTGCACAAAAACTTCTTCTGTTTGTGAATGTGACAGATTTTGAGCTAAACTTTAGCTCGTTAGTAGCCGAAAGTCTTTAACAGATCATGCAGAATCCTGATCAACGCTGGCCTCAAAATTCAACATGGCTGCCATTAGTGGTGAAACATCGACCCACATCAATATATTGCTTCAATTAGGGGCGGGCAGATTAAATGGTGGGAGGAGCCACAGTAGTTTGTTGACACTAGCAGAGGGCCACCGAGCTGTAAACTCACCAAAACTAACATTTTAAAAATGTTTGTGTTTATACTAAACCAGCATACAGTGCAGTAACATTTACATATATAACAGTTGTATTCGTTTAATAAACATAAATACAAAATGTTTGAAACAAAAAAATTAAAATAAATAAACTCAATTTGAGCTGAAGTGTAACAACATAAAACGCCTTGAGGTCAGACTCCTGCGTGGTTCTGGTTCTGATAAAACGTTTGATTTTGTTGTTTCTGTTCTCGTGACTTCAGTAAACTTCACATATTTAGCTTTGTGCAGCGTGTTCTAGTGACGACTTCATGGTAGACAGCGTCTCGAAGCAAAAAAACACAGAAGTTTGACTTGAAATTCTGTCAACAGTTAGTTGACCTAAAAAAATAAAATAAAAAAATTGGCGGGCCAGATGGAAGTAACCTTTGGGCCAGGTGTGGCCCTCAGGCCGCTTGTTGCTTATCCCTGCACTGATTATGCTAGATGATAGATTAAAGGCACTGAAAACAAAAAGCAAAAAAATCTTACCAAAGTTTCCAAGTCCTGAGATCTGAGGTGTCGTCTTGTTTGCAGACATCTGTAGTGAGAGTAGGGAGCAGGTGGAAGAGAAGGTGGAGAGGTAGAGGACAGAACAGAACTCTGTTCACCTTCCTGATGTGAAAAAAAAAAACATCTCATGAACTGAACAAGATACAAACACCCTCAGGACCCTCAGCAGGGAGGTAGAAGCAGAGTGATTTGCCTGTGAGTTCAACATTTAAACAGTTTGAGTTTTCATCTTTCAGTGTAGACATGAGACATTTTCTCCGATGAGAAGTCAAATATTTTCAAGAGACAAAAGAAGAAATCTAGCTACTTTTGGTTCGACTCGTTAACTGTGGGTCCTAATGAAAGATTTTCACAATAAAAGTCACTGAAAAGTCCAACTCAATATGTCAGTGAAAAGTTCAACTATGGGTCGTAATGAAAGATTTTCACAATAAGTCACTGAAAAGTCGAACTGTGGGTTCTAATGGAAGATTTTTACAATAAAAGTCCAACTGTGGGTCCTAATGGAAGGCTTTCACAATAAAAGTCACTGAAAGTCCAACTCTGGGTCCCAGTATAAGATTTTCACAATAACAGTCACTGAAAGTACAAATGTGGGTCCTAATAGAAGATTTTCACAATAAAAGTCACCGAAAAGCCCTACTGTGGGTCCTAATGGAAGATTTTCACAATAAAAGTCACTGAAAAGTTCAACTGTGGGTCCTAATAGGAGATTTTCACAATAAAAGTCACTGAAAAGTCCAACTCAATATGTCAGTGAAAAGTTCAGCTGTGGGTCGTAGTGAAAGATTTTCACAATAAAAGTCACTGAAAAGTTCAACTGTGGGTCCTAATGGAAGATTTTCACAATAAGTCACTGAAAAGTCCAACTGTGGGTCCTAATGGAAGATTTTCACAATAAAAGTCCAACTGTGGGTCCTAATGGAAGGTTTTCACAATAAAAGTCACTGAAAGTCCAACTGTGGGTCCTAATATAAGATTTTCACAATAAAAGTCACTGAAAGTCCAAATGTGGGTCCTAATGGAAGATTTTCACAATAAAAGTCACTGAAAAGCCCTACTGTGGGTCCTAATGGAAGATTTTCACAATAAAAGTCACTGAAAAGCCCTACTGTGGGTCCTAATGGAAGATTTTCACAATAAAAGTCACTGAAGAGTTCAACTATGTGTCGTAATGGAAGATTTTCACAATAAAAGTCACTGAAAAATTCAACTGTGGGTCACTGTCTAATAGGAGATTTTCTCAATAAAAGTCACAGAAAGTCCAACTGTGGGTCCAAATGGAAGATTTTCACAATAAAAGTCACTAAAAGTCCTAATTCCTGTCAAAATATCATAAATATTAAATTGTTTGTGTTTATCTGTTTTTATTAAATGTTTGTTGTTCGTTAGCGAAAACCTCCAGCTGTGCCAATATTTGTGCATTTTTCAAAATAAAAGTCAAAGAAAGTGTTGCGCTCCACTAACAGTGAAACGGGACGAAAACATGAGTCTGAAGCAACAAGATTTATTCTCACACACGTTATCGTCAAGATTTCAGATAATTAATCATAAAAATATACTCTGAGTGAAACACGGAGCAGAAGCAGAGGAACAGGAAGAGCCGCCGAGAAAACAAACAAACAAACAAAAAAAAAAAAAACCAAAAACAAACACGCCTCACTTATGTTGAAAACATCAATACTGTATACCTAAAATAATTAAAGTTCAATGGTCAAATAAATATAACGCTCTGCTCACATTTACTCAAAAACAAATCTAATGCTGTTTATTTTTTAACTTTTCTTTTTTTTTAACAGTAATGTTCACACTGAGCCACCAGGTGGCGCCAAAACACAGAATCACCGGAAGAACAGGTGGCGTCTCATTAATTCACCAATCAATCAAACACACGCGTTCTGGTTTATGTACAGGGTCGGGACCCACCTGGATCTGGTTTTGACCCGAAACCCAGCTCAAAGGTCCTGAAAGAACCCCTCACAACAGACATAAACAGGATAGGGGGCGGGGCCTGAGAGGACTTTCAGCAGGTTAAACTTTTGGCACGACTAAGATGCTGATCCGGGTTCAGGATCAGGGTTCTGTTCATGTTGGGACTCGTCTTCAAAAAAAGACAAGAAATGTAAAAAACAATTAAATACAGAAACCGGTTGGAGTCACAAAGTCCTGAAGTGGTTAAACGGGTTCAGTTCTGGTCCGGTACAGATAAAAAACTGGTTCTATGGTTCTGTGACGAAAATAAATTATAAATTATTTAAAGATCTGTGACTCACCTGGTTCAAGATGATTAAACTGTAAAAAAATATGATTTTTTTCTTTTTTGTCCAGCACTGACTGTGTAACTGTGTCAATGCTAAGCTAAGCTAGGCTAGGCTAGGCTAACATTTTGGCTGTGCAGCAGCACCCATGTACTGAATGGTTCTGGAGTTTCAGACTGAATAAACGGTTGTTTGAACCAAACATAAAAACAAAGTTTAAACATGAAAAGATTTTCCTTCATTAAACTTTTCGTCACAAAATAAAAACAGAAAATAAATCGTTGTTTTCATGTTTCATCGTTAAAACCACACTGATCATCTGATTCATCGTAGAGCTGAGGAGTCAGAGCAGCTTAACAGAATCCTTCACATCTTTAGTAGGTCAGACCCGGACCGCTCTGACCCGGGTCAGTTTTAACGGCTCTAACGTGGACCGCCCCCCTCTGACGGGGGTCAGACGTAGAGGCGGGAGTGTCGGAGCTTCCACCTGCGGGATCGCACTTTGAAGAAGAAGAAGAGGAGCATGAGGATGAGGCAGGAGCACACGTACAGGACCACACACAGACTCATGTCCACGCTGTTAAAACCCAGACCCAGGATCCAAACCCCACTTCCTGTGTGCCCACCTCGCCGCGCCGCAACTTCCTGTTCCTCCTGCACCCTCTGAGCCAGGTGTCCGGGTGGTGGTTCTGGCTGCTCCTCAGCCTTCCTCCCCTCTCCTCCTCCTCCTCCTCCTCCTCCTCCTCCTCCTCGTGTTGTTGCTCGGTGCTCCACCAGAGGCTGGGCGGTCAGGACCAGATCAGGAGGGGCGGCGGGGACCAGAGGAGGAGTCAGGGAGTATTTGGGGGACAGGTTGGAGGCGCCGTAGTGATGCCGGAGAAAACGGAGAACGTTGTCTTGGTTCCAGGTGTGGACGCCGTTCGTCTCCTCGTGGCAGGAGGGGCAGAGGGCGGGGCTTGGCCACGGCGCTTTAGGGAAGAGGGGGTCGTCGCTCAGAGCGCCTGAGGGTGGAGAGCAGGAAGAGTTTAACGTTTGGGCCTCTGACAGACGTATGGAGACAAACTGGGGTCATAAAGTTTGATCAAATTAAAATTTTATTTTTTTAAACAAAAAAAATAAATAAAATAAAACATTTTGGAACTGAAAAAAATAAAGGTTTGAAACTGATTAAAAACTAAGGTTCAAAAGTCTCTTTATCATATAATACAAGCTGTTGTAGCATAATTAATGAAGTATGGTATACCATTGTATCATATAACTAACAACGTATGGCAGGCCATTGTATCATTTACTTAATGAAGTACGGCAGGCCATTGTATCATTTACTTAATGATGTGTGGCAGGCCATTGTATCATATAATTAATGAAGTACGGCAGGTCATTGTATCATTTACTTAATGATGTATGGCAGGCCATTGTATTATTTAATTAATGATGTATGGCAGGCCATTGTATCATTTACTNTATGGCAGGCCATTGTATTATTTAATTAATGATGTATGGCAGGCCATTGTATCATTTACTCAATGATGTATGGCAGGCCATTGTATCATTTACTTGTGCCACATAATTTAATAATATGGGGTTCATGTCAGGTCACGGTATCATATAATCAACCAAGTAAGACAGGCTGTTGCGTCATATAATTTAATAATATGGCATGCCATACTATCATGTTATTCACAGGTATGGCAGGCTGTTATGTCATATAATTTAAAAATATGGCAGGTCATTGTGTTATAAAATTTAAAAATATGGCATGCTGTTGTAACATAATTAACCGTGTATGGCAGGTCGTTGTGTCATAATTTTAAAATATGGCATGTCGTATCATAATTAATCTATAAAAGGTCAAGTCATAATAAAAAATGTGCCATATTTTTGAATATAATAAAAATTATGGCAAGTCATTTGATCTTATAGTTAAAAAGATGAAAGGCTATTTTGTCATATAATTTATTAATTTCGCAGGTCATTGTATCATTTAATTAAAGCAGTTTGTGGTATAACAGAATTTAAAAATATGGCAAGCTATTATATCATACAATAATGCATGTCAGGTCATGGTGTCATATAATCAACAAAGTATGACAAGCTATTGTATCATAATTTTTTAAAAAGGCAAGTCATTGTGTAATATAATTTAAAAATATGGCAGATTGTTGTATTATAAAACTGAAAAGGTATGAGAGAGCAGATCATAATTTACAATATGGCAGGTTGTTTGATCATATAATTAAAAGTAGGGCAGGTCATTGTATAATATAATAAATTATATGGCTGGTAATTATAAAAAAAAATACAAAATATATATATTTTTAGTTTCAACATTTGTCTTTCAGTTCTGTTTTTAAATTTTATGATGCTAATTTAGCTCCATGGCATCGATTCTGAATAAAAGTTTGATGAAAAGATGAAATCTGATCAGAGAGGAACCGTACCGGACAGTCTGGTGTTGACCCGGTTGTGTTGGTTCCACAGCCACAGGATCTGCTGCTCGCGGCTCTTCACCTCGTCCACGCCTGCCGCCGCCGCCGCTGCCGCCTGCTCAAAGTGTCGCCCGCACTCCTTACAGCCGAAGAAGGTCCGAATGTAGCGACGCATCACCTGAAGCACTGGAGCCGCCTCGCCCTCCAGACCTGCGGTGCATTCACAGACCGTCAGGAAAAACCAGCTTCAGCCTGTGTGTGTGTGTGTCGTCTGTGTACCTGTGTTGTCCAGCGCTGTGGGCGTGGCATCGTGCTGAACGGTCAGAACATGAAACAGAGTCCAGAGGGAGCACGGGTAACCTCGAAGACCGGGTCTGCTGGCCTGGCAACCGACCCAGCGAAGCTCCGCCCCCAGGAACACACCTGAGATCTGCAGAGACAGGAAGTCAGCTGCCTGTGTGTGTCAGCGAGTCAGCAATTTTTAGCCACTTTTCTGTCACTGAAAATGAACGAAGCTATTTTAACATCCTTAAAAATCCTTTAAAATATTTCTAAATCTTTACAGCACCTTACACATTTAGTTCTGTTTATGCCTTTTTCACGTTCTTGTGCTAATTTTAGCTACTTGTTGCTGCTAAAATTAGCTTTTTTTCTGCAATTTCAGCTAGAATTCTGCTTCTTTCTGCTATTCTTCTGCCTTATTATTATTATTATTATTTTTATATAATTTTATGAATTTTTTTTGCTTTTTTCCTGTTTTAGCTATTTTTACACTATAACTATTTCAACTAGGTTCTTATTTCAAATTGTGGTTGCTACCTTTAGCCTATTTTATGCTAATTTTAGCACAACTGTGTTTGCTGCATGACCGGTTTCACCTGTTCCCCCATGTTTGTCTTGTTATGTCTTCTTGAATGGTTGTTTCTGAACTGCCTCCCCCCGCTTCCCTGATTGTACAGCACCTTGTGAATTTATTTCTGTGAAAGGCGCTATATAAATAAAAATTTACTTACTTACTTACTAATTTTAGCTATTATATGCTACTTTACCTATAGCTAGAGAAATGGCATTTCCTGTGAAAATGCTAGTGAGAATGCTTCCTGCTGAAAATGTCAGCTTTGTATTAACACTTGAAAAATGAAAGAAAAAGTCTAACTTTGCAGAAAAACAGTAAAAAGGAGCACAAATCTAGTTCAAAACAGAAAACAGCTAAAAGCTAAAATAGCTGAATATAGTTGAAAACATCTGTAAGAAGCATAAATAGCACTAGGTAGCATAAAAAACCAAAGCAGTAGAATAGCAGAAAGAAGCAGACAGCTTTAATAATAATAATTTTAGTTAGGTTTAGAGGTTTGGTGTGAGTTAAGTTCTGGTTCAGGTTAGCGTTAGCTACAGACCAATTATGGTTAATTTTAGGTAAAATGTCTGGTTGGACATAAAAATACAGACACAAAAATGAATAGAAGTCAAATACAAAGTCCTCAGTTTGATGCAAATACAAGGATGTGTGTGTGTGTGTGTGTGTGTGTGTGTGTGTGTGTGTGTG